CGTTACGTGTACTGTGTATATATATCTTATACACACTGTGTCGTTACGTGTACTGTATATATATATATATATCTTATACACACTGTGTTGTTACGTGTACTGTGTATATATATATATCTTATACACACTGTGTCGTTACGTGTACTGTTATATATATATCTTATACACACTGTGTCGTTACCTGTACTGTGTTATATATATCTTATACACACTGTGTCGTTACCTGTACTGTGTATATATATCTTATACACACTGTGTCGTTACCTGTACTGTGTATATATATCTTTAACACTGTGTCGTTACGTGTACTGTATATTATATATCTTATACACACTGTGTCGTTACCTGTACTGTGTATAATATATATCTTATACACACTGTGTCGTTACGTGTACTGTATATATATATATCTTATACACACTGTGTCGTTACCTGTACTGTGTATATATATATCTTATACACACTGTGTCGTTACCTGTACTGTGTATATATATATCTTATACACACTGTGTCGTTACCTGTACTGTGTATATATATCTTATACACACTGTGTCGTTACCTGTACTGTATATATATATATCTTATACACACTGTGTCGTTACGTGTACTGTGTATATATATTATCTATCACACTGTGTCGTTACTGTACTGTATATATATATCTTATACCACTGTGTCGTTACGTGTACTGTGTATATATATATATCTTATACACACTGTGTCCTTACGTGTACTGTAATATAATATCTTATACACACTGTGTCGTTACCTGTACTGTGTATATATATATATATCTTATACACACTGTGTCGTTACGTGTACTGTATAATATATCTTATACACACTGGTGTCGTTACCTGTACTGTGTATATATATCTTATACACACTGTGTCGTTACCTGTACTGTGTATATATATCTTATACACACTGTGTCATTACCTGTACTGTGTATATATATATCTTATACACACTGTGTCATTACCTGTACTGTGTATATATATATCTTATACACACACTGTGTCGTTACCTGTACTGTATATATATATATATATCTTATACACACTGTGTCGTTACGTGTACTGTGTATATATATAGATCTTTATACACACTGTGTCGTTACGTACTGTATATATATATATCTTATACACACTGTGTCGTTACCTGTACTGTGTATATATATATATCTTATACACACTGTGTCGTTACGTACTGTATATATATATATCTTATACACACTGTGTCGTTACCTGTACTGTGTATATATATATCTTATACACACTGTGTCGTTACCTGTACTGTATATATATATATATATTTATACACACTGTGTTGTTACGTGTACTGTGTATATATATATATCTTATACACACTGTGTCGTTACCTGTACTGTGTATATATATCTTATACACACTGTGTCGTTACCTGTACTGTATATATATATATATATCTTATACACACTGTGTCGTTACCTGTACTGTGTATATATATATCTTATACACACTGTGTCGTTACCTGTACTGTATATATATATATATATCTTATCACACTGTGTCGTTACCTGTACTGTATATATATAATATCTTATACACACTGTCGTTACCTGTACTGTGTAATATATATCTTATACACACTGTGTCGTTACCTGTACTGTATATATATATATATCTTACACACTGTGTCGTTACCTGTACTGTATATATATAATTTCTTATACACACTGTGTCGTTACCTGTACTGTGTATATATATCTTATACACACTGTGTCGTTACCTGTACTGTGTATATATATCTTATACACACTGTGTCGTTACCTGTACTGTATATATATATATATATATCTTATACACACTGTGTTGTTACGTGTACTGTGTATATATATATATCTTATACACACTGTGTCGTTTACCTGTACTGTTATATATATATCTTATACACACTGTGTCGTTACCTGTACTGTGTATATATATATCTTATACACACTGTGTCGTTACCTGTACTGTATATATATATATATCTTATACACACTGTGTTGTTACCTGTACTGTGTATATATATATCTTATACACACTGTGTCGTTACCTGTACTGTGTATATATATATCTTATACACACTGTGTCGTTACCTGTACTGTATATATATTATATCTTATACACACTGTGTCGTTACCTGTACTGTGTATATATATTCTTATACACACTGTGTCGTTACCTGTACTGTATATATATATATCTTATACACACTGTGTCGTTACCTGTACTGTATATATATATATATCTTATACACACTGTGTCGTTACCTGTACTGTGTATATTATATCTTATCACACTGTGTCGTTACCTGTACTGTATATTATATATCTATCTTATACACACTGTGTCGTTACCTGTACTGTATATATATATATATCTTATACACACTGTGTCGTTACCTGTACTGTATATATATATATATCTTATACACACTGTGTCGTTACCTGTACTGTGTATATATATATCTTATACACACTGTGTCGTTACCTGTACTGTATATATATATATATATCTTATACACACTGTGTTGTTACGTGTACTGTGTATATATATATCTTATACACACTGTGTCGTTACCTGTACTGTGTATATATATCTCTTATACACACTGTGTCGTTACCTGTACTGTATATATATATATCTTATACACACTGTGTCGTTACCTGTACTGTATATATATATATATATATCTTATACACACTGTGTCGTTACCTGTACTGTGTATATATATATCTTATACACACTGTGTCGTTACCTGTACTGTGTATATATATCTCTTACACACTGTGTCGTTACCTGTACTGTATATATATATATATCTTATACACACTGTGTTGTTACGTACTGTGTATATATATCTTATACACACTGTGTCGTTACCTGTACTGTGTATATATATCTTATACACACTGTGTCGTTACCTGTACTGTATATATATATATATCTTATACACACTGTGTCGTTACCTGTACTGTATATATATATATATATCTTATACACACTGTGTCGTTACCTGTACTGTGTATATATATCTTATACACACTGTGTCGTTACCTGTACTGTATATATATATTATCTTATACACACTGTGTTGTTACCTGTACTGTGTATATATATATCTTATACACACTGTGTCGTTACCTGTACTGTGTATATATATCTCTTACACACTGTGTCGTTACCTGTACTGTATATATATATATATCTTATACACACTGTGTTGTTACGTGTACTGTGTATATATATCTTATACACACTGTGTCGTTACCTGTACTGTGTATATATATATCTTATACACACTGTGTTGTTACCTGTACTGTGTATATATATATCTTATACACACTGTGTCGTTACCTGTACTGTGTATATATATCTCTATACACACTGTGTCGTTACCTGTACTGTATATATATATCTTATACACACTGTGTCGTTACCTGTACTGTATATATATATATCTTATACACACTGTGTCGTTACCTGTACTGTGTATATATATCTCTTATACACACTGTGTCGTTACCTGTACTGTATATATATATATATCTATACACACTGTGTTGTTACGTGTACTGTGTATATATATCTTATACACACTGTGTCGTTACCTGTACTGTGTATATATATCTCTTATACACACTGTGTCGTTACCTGTACTGTATATATATATATCTTATACACACTGTGTTGTTACGTGTACTGTGTATATATATATCTTATACACACTGTGTCGTTACCTGTACTGTGTATATATATCTTATACACACTGTGTTGTTACCTGTACTGTGTATATATATATCTTATACACACTGTGTCGTTACCTGTACTGTGTATATATATCTCTTATACACACTGTGTCGTTACCTGTACTGTATATATATATATATCTTATACACACTGTGTCGTTACCTGTACTGTATATATATATATATATCTTATACACACTGTGTCGTTACCTGTACTGTATATATATATATATCTTATACACACTGTGTCGTTACCTGTACTGTGTATCCACAGCCCTGTTTTAAATTCCTCTAAACTGCACTGCTGTCCTGTGTAATTAGATTTATTTCTGCCCCTCCTGCTGCGAGCTGTTCTGTTTAATGGCGTCTATATAAACGGTGTAAACAGCTCAGTAGTCCATCGTCGTGACTTCCTGCGCTGACTTCAGTAAAAGCTCTGAGTGCTTCTCCCTCCACTGATGCAGAAACAGATTGTGCAACAGTTTGCTGTTGATCATGTCGCCCCCCCCCCCCCCCCCCCAGTAACCATATGGTCTCTTCCTCCCACCAGATTCCCCCCTGACCCTCATCACATATGATCTGATTGGTTAATGAGGTAATGAATGGCGGCGACCAGCTGCTGACACACAGAGAGGAGGGAAATGATTATTGTACTTTAATTGATGGAGACAGACTGCTGTCCTGCCAGCGCCCCCTACAGGCTGCAGTGCTCCCTACAGACAGGTGTACGCTCAGTTTGTCCTGCAGGTGGCGCTAGAGGAAAAGTCAGAGGGTCAGTCACGTAGAGGGTTCATCCTCCGGAGAGCAGGAAGGAGAGCAGGACGTTTACCCACACAAAAGATTCAGTTTTCACATTTATTTCTCTTGTTTTGGGTATTTTATTCATTTCTACAAACACAAAGATCTTTTATCTCTCTCTCTTTTTGAAACAGTCACATAAATAAAAAATGTTAAGTTAAAATAAGAATAAAATTTTATTTATATTTTAAATGTTAATTTCCTGTTTGCATTTCTATGATTATAATTCGGCTCCCAGATTTATTTTTAGTGAAAATGTTTGTTTGTTTGTTTTGTCTCGTGCTTTCGGCCACGTTAGCGGCTCCGTTCCGCTGACGTCATCAGACGGCGCCGGGTTGGAGGCTGTAGTTCAGCGGCGGAGAGAAGAATGAAGGAAAAAGTGAGTAAACCGTTTGTTTACCGGAGCAGCTGCTCGGGACGTAACACACGTTCTCCGGTTTGTCCTGCAACAGGAGCCGCGGTTAGCATCGGTTAGCATGCTGCTAGTTTATCACCTTCATGCTGACCGGCTAACGTGCCGACAGCTAGCTAACTGTTAGCATCTGGAAACAAACAAACAAACAAACAAACAAGATCAGTAAACAAACAGTTTGAGTTAATCCTGTAGAGGTACTCAGTGAACATGATCCCACGCCAGACTCCATTCAAATATCTGCTAATTTAAGATCTGTTTACTTGTAGAACAGCGTGGATCATTCAAATTAAATTCTCTATGATTCTTCCAACAAGCCAAGTGCAACATAAGATGCAGCAGGTTGAGTCCGACTTAATTAAAGTGACCAGATAAATGTCCTGTTGCTGTGGTAGCTGCTACTCACCAGACAGAGCCACCGCCATGACTCCACACCAAACTCCATTCACAGATCTGCCAGTTTGCTGTTAGTAGAATATTATATCACAAACATCAGGCACTTTCTCAGCAGAGTCAGACATTTAAATTAAAAAGAGACCATTACCTGTAGCGGACTTCCTGTAAAGAAACGTCTTCTTTCTAGGGCTTAGATTTGGCAGAAAATCATAATTTCTTTGGTCTTCTGTGCTTCAGATGTAGTAACCTGCTGAGAGCTCATCCCGCTGTGTTGTTTAGTTCCCCCAGTCTACAGGTCTGTGCATTCCCTCACTGCACCGCTGACACTAGATGTATTCTTTAATTCCACGAGGAGCTCAGGATGCAGGCTTTCTCTGGAAATATAAAACAAAGCTGTGTGAATGCATGTTCAGTAGTGGCTCCTCCTCTCTAATCGGAGACAACATGAATTTCTACCAAACTCCATTCAGGTATCTGTCAGTTTAATACACTGCTCATAAAATAAGGGAACACTAAAATAACACCTCCTAGATCTGAATGAATGAAATAATCTCATTAATACTCCTTTCTTTACATGGTTGAATGTGCTGACAACAAAATCACACAAAAATTATCAATGGAAATCAAATCCATCAACCCATGGAAGTCTGGATTTGGAGTCACACTCAAAATCAAAATGGGAAACACTACAGGCCGATCCAACTTTGATGTAATGTCCTTAAAACAAGTCAAAATGAGGCTCAGTAGTGTGTGTGGCCTCCACGTGCCTGTATGACCTCCCTCCCTCCTGTGGACGTCGGGCCCTCGTACCACCCTCATGGAGTCTGTTTCTGACACATGCACATTTGTGGCCTGCTGGAGGTCATTTTGCAGGGCTCTGGCAGTGTTCCTCCTGCTCCTCCTGCTCCTCCTTGCACAAAGGCGGAGGTAGCGGTCCTGCTGCTGGATTGTCGCCCTCCTACGGCCTCCTCCACGTCTCCTGATGTACCGGCCTGTCTCCTGGTAGCGCCTCCGTGCTCTGGACCCTACGCTGACAGACACAGCAAACCTTCTTGCCACAGCTCGCGTTGATGTGCCATCCTGGATGAGCTGCACTACCTGAGCCACTTGTGTGGGTTGTAGACTCCGTCTCATGCTACCACTAGAGTGAAAGCACCGCCAAAACCTCAGCCAGGAAGCACAGGAACTGAGAAGTGTGGTCTCCACCTGCAGAACCACTCCTTTATTGGGGGGTCTTGCTAATTGCCACCTGTTGTCTTTTCCAGTTGCACAACAGCATGTGAAATTGATTGTCAGTCAGTGTTGCTTCCTAAGTGGACAGTTTGATTTTACAGGAGTGTGACTGACTTGGAGTTACATTGTGTTGTTTAAGTGCTCCCTTTATTTTTTGGAGCAGTGTATTAGTGTAACAGACAAACACACTGGAGGCTTCAAACTACACACAAAACACAGACCTCGTTTTGTTTCTCTGAAGTATTTTCAGCAAGTCAGACCCTGAAATGACGTGAAATAGTATTAAGATCACATTTTGTGTTTGTCATCCGCCATTAGTTAAATGTAATTGTTAACTTCTGAAGCTTCAGAGTGGATCAGTGTCCTGTTCGTTGGGAATAATAAAGTTTTATCTTTGATTCTCCCGCAGACTCTCAGGATGCAGCTCGTGTAGGTCGACACAGAATGAGTCGTGATGATGAAGAGACCAAAGCTGGCCGGAGTGTTCCTCTTCGTGGGCTGCCTGCTCGCCTACCTCATGTTCGTGAAGCGTCACTACGCCGCCACAAAGCCCGACGCCTACAGCTACCTCCCCTCGCCCGGCGCCGGCCCGGACCAGCTCGGAGACGATAGGCCCGCAGCGGCTGGGCCGAGCTTCCGTATGGCATCATGTTCGATGCTGGAAGCACCGGGACCCGAGTCCACGTCTTCAAGTTCCAGATGGAGAACAGAGGTACAGCAGGGGACGGATGGGAGATGTTCATGTGTTGCTGCAGTAAACAGAGCAGCTAATATCATTCCACACCAAACTCCATTCATATATCTGACACTTTAATATCCATTTGCATGTCGGGCAACACTTGATTTAACCAGGAAGGAACCTTGTGATTTAAATCTTTGCTTAGAGACACCTGGCCAAGACCGCATACCTGTTAGTTTTACGTTTCTCAGTTACATGCACTTTAACATGGCTTCACATTTGTCTGAGGGGACCAGATTATTAAGATGTAGTAAGTTCTTTCAGCATATTCAAAGTCTGACAAAGTGACCTGCACGTGTGTATTTCATGCCCAACATGTTAGAACAAGCCTGACTTCTAAGATAAAATCCTGTCTTTAGTGTAAAGTAGGAGTTCAAAAGGTACATTTGCGATCATCATTGGAGCATCGACCAGAATGCACAGTAGTAAGCCAGGAAAATCCTCAATAAGGTTAACGAGCCAATCAGTGATGAGAAAAGAAAGGAAAGGAAGTGAATAAAGTAGAAATAGCTGCGTTGCAGACCGGTCGGAACTGGGAAATTTCCAAGTTGAAATGCCCGACTTCCGACCTCAAAGCGTTCAGGTGCATGACGCCAAATGTAAACAATAAACATGGCTGACCGTGACAAACTATGTTCCTTTGGCAGGTTTCTGACAGTTAAGCCTCGGCATTATTTAAATACATGGAAATATACTTCATGTTGCCTTTCAGTTTATGTTGTGTGTGTTTCCACGGGAGCTGCCATTGTTGTGGTATGTCATTCAGCTGCTACTCGTGAAGGCGGGGTACATCATTTTAGTAGGAGTAGGAAATCCGACTTCAAGTGGCGTTCCAGGATAGTTTTTGTAGTTGGAGGTTGTGGAACGCAACATAATTGCGGATCTTTACTACACTTAGTTTCTTCAACAAGATTTTCAAATTTCATTGTGTCGCGTCCACTGAGTCTGCCTGTGTAGCGTTACGGCTGCCGGAGCTAAACGCAGCCATTCTAGTCATGGTTGTGAGTCCACCAGACAGGGCGACAGCGAGTCAGAAAACAGAACGGCATAGAGAATCTGGTCGATTTTCAAAATAAAACACCCTGTGAAACTCCAGATCGTATATCAACAATAAACACAATTAAAATGGATAAAAAAAACAACAACATTTAACTACGTAGCCTACTTAACCATGGTAGAAGCACAAAATCAAGCACTAATTACCAAATCACCAGAAAAATCAGGCAAAATGTTCAGATTTTGAAATGCTCAAGGGTATTTCTAATATAGAAAATAAAATAGGAGCTAAAATTATACCTGTCACAGCCCTGGAGACACACAGGTAAGCCAAAAATCTAAACTAAATAAGCAAAACCAACCCGCTCCATGGACGGGAGGACAGTCAGCAGTGGAGGAGGTGCTGAGTGAAGAAGGACCGGCTGCCCCGGGTGCAGGTTACCCTGCCAGTCAGTGATTGTGATGTTGGCTGTTCACCTTTAAACTTTAAACTCCAGATATGAAACAGGGTCTCTGGAATTCAAACCTCTGTCGTGGACGCTGACTGGACTCATATGGATCCTGTCAGATTAAACTGTAAAGGTTTATAAATCAGACCTCTGATTTGCTTCTGCTGTATTTAAAATCCAGACATTAATTACCAGCCGTGGATCCCGACAGACAAGAGGAGCTTTCAGCCTTAAGTCCTCTCTGCGCGGAGCTGCTGCCAGAGTTAAAAGGACACAAACTCATTAGTGCGTTTTAGAGTTTTTGGGTTTATTAGGCTTAGAAAGTTTCCTGCAGAGCTCGGCCAAATGCCTTCGTTATCGCATTTAACCGCTAAGCTAAATCACACAGGCTGAGTGCTGTTTTGGCTTCTTTGTTAGCATCAGAGCTAACCGGACTAATGGAAGCACCTGTAGTTATACAGACTGGGATTGTCATTAGAGCTTATGCGCTCGGATGTAGGCACAGGTCCAGGGTCAGCCTGTCAGAGGGATGGAGTCAATGAAATTAATGTGGCTGTAAAACAGTGAGGCATCATTTCAGAACCTGAAAGAAGCTGAAGCTAAAGGTAAAACTAAGGGTAAAACTAAAGCTGAAGCTAAAGGTAAAACTAAGGGTAAAACTAAAGCTGTAGGTAAAACTAAGGGTAAAATTAAAGGTAAAGCTAAAGCTAAAGCTGAAGGTAAAACTAAGGAAAGTTGAAGCTGAAGGTAAAACTAAAAGTGAAGCTGAAGGTGAAGCTGAAGCTGAAGGTGAAGGTGAAGCTGAAGCTGAAGGTGAAGCTGAAGCTGAAGCTGAAGGTAAAACTAAAGTTGAAGCTGAAGGTAAAACTAAAAGTGAAGCTGAAGGTAAAACTGAATGTAAGACTAAAGGTGAAGCTGAAGCTGAAGGTAAAACTGAATGTAAGACTAAAGGTGAAGGTAAAACTGAATGTAAGACTAAAGGTGAAGGTAAAACTGAATGTAAGACTAAAGGTGAAGGTAAAACTGAATGTAAGACTAAAGGTGAAGGTAAAACTGAATGTAAGACTAAAGGTGAAGGTAAAACTGAATGTAAGACTAAAGGTGAAGCTGAAGCTGAAGGTAAAACTGAATGTAAGACTAAAGGTGAAGCTGAAGCTGAAGGTAAAACTGAATGTAAGACTAAAGGTGAAGCTGAAGCTGAAGGTAAAACTGAATGTAAGACTAAAGGTGAAGGTAAAACTGAATGTAAGACTAAAGGTGAAGGTAAAACTGAATGTAAGACTAAAGGTGAAGCTGAAGCTGAAGGTAAAACTGAATGTAAGACTAAAGCTGAAGGTAAA